CGCACGCGCGCACGCACACGCACACGCACACGCGCACGCACGCACACGCACGCGCACACACACGCACACACGCACACACGCACACACGCCCCGACACGCACACGCACACACACGCACACACGCACACACGCACACACGCGCACACGCACACTCGCGCACACGCGCACACGCGCACACGCGCGCACACCCACACACCCACACACCCACACACCCACACACCCACAAACGCGCACACGCACACACGCACACACGCAAACACAAACACAAACAAAAACACACACACACACACACACACCCACACCCACACCCACACCTACACCCACACACACAGACACACACACACACAGACACAGTCACACACGAGCATACACACAAAGACACACAGACAGACACGCACACAAGGAGAAACGTACACAGCCAAACAGACATATGAACGCTCACGCAAACACGCAAACACGCAAGCACACAAGCACGTAAGCACACAAACCACAAAAGAAAACACACAAACACAAACTTGCCCAACCCCACGGGCACGCGACTATGGAGATGCCCATGACAGGCTCATGCGCACGCATACTCACCCGCACACGCACATGCGCACACGCCCACGCAAACAGAAACGCAAACACACACACACACAAACACACACACACAAACACAACCACAAATACAAACAAACTTGCACACCCACACACACAGACCCCCACACACACACACAAACGCACGCACGCACGCACACACGCACACACGCACACACGCACACACGCGCGCACGCCCGCACACCCGCACGCCCGCCCGCCCGCCCGCCCGCCCGCCTGCTTCGCCGCACCGCATTGCGCCACAGCGCGCAACCTCCGCCCACGCCCACGCCCACGCCCACGTGCACACGTTTGCACGCGCACACGCGCACCCCAACATCAACTCCAACGCCAACCCCAACGCCAACACCAACACCAACCCGCACCCGCACCACCACCCGCACCACCACCCGCACACGCCCACACGCACACGCACAAGCATGAACACGCGAACAAGCGCACGCAGGCACACAAACGCACGCGCGCAGACGCATGCCACGCGAACGCACGCGCGGAGGTGAGGCACAGGCGGAGGCACAGGCGCCCGCCCGGCCGCGGGCACTTGTGCACACGACAGCATACTCTTGTCCACTTGAAAGAAAGGCTTCACAGCACAGCACATGGCAAAGCCATGAGAGCTTGACACTAGTACTCCAGGTTCTTGCCAAAAATCTTTGCTAGATCCTGAAAGTAGTCAAACAGTCTAGGGATCATTCGTACTGTTCGGTCCCAAGTTGCCCCACTGCTCGCAGGGCTTGGCCCATTGGCTGACCGATCCAGGTCTTCACTCACGCAGCTGAATCCCGGTGGGCCGTGTTCATGCAGACCGAGGCGCGGCGTGTTGAGTCCCGGATGGCGTCGCGCTTTTCGGGGAGATTCCAATTTCAAACTTCTTGGAATGTCTTTCCTTGAGCGTCAGTGCCTGACTTTGAGATTGGCAAAATCATGAGGCCAGGTCCCTCATGTCTCGTCTCGGCAAGGAAATGGGTCCTTGGGCAGGTCTCAACAAAGCGGAGTTTGGGACCTGCATTTGCTCAAGCCGAATGACCACCAGTCGGCTCGGTGCACGTGTCATGGGCCTATCAGCTAGTTCTCAGGCGCACGACTAAAGTTAGTAGATTCCAGCAGCCCGTCCGCAAAATTTCACAAAATGCCCAGGGCCCGCAAATGGCACGTGTGCCATTCCGAGCCTCCCGATTTTAGCTGCTTCATAGGGCCACCCACAGGGCTGTTGCCGGTTGCTGCAAAGAGTGCAATTCTTAGGCGTACCTTCAAGAGGATTCGTGAACTACGCTACGACCCCACTGGGTTACTGAAGCATGGTTGATCGCATTAACCCAAACGGCCACGAGTTCAATGATTGTCCTTGCACATTTGTGAAAGTGTCTTGGAAAATATATTGGTGAGTCAGCTGTTTTTTGCGGGTGATTGTTTTTGGTGGTCTTAGTTCGGGAAGCAACAGTTTGCAGGTCTTGGAGGTCATTTTGCTGGCGCCCTTCGCGGAAACCCAAGATCGGGTGGAGGAGTGGGCCTCCATGTGCCCCCAGTACGCGCCTTGCCGCGGGATGTTTTAGAAGTTGAGCGCCGAGAAAAAGGTGGTTCCTTTGTCTTATGGGCACTGAGTGTCTGCGTGTAAGCTATATGTAAATAATTTGGTATATATATATACGTATGTATATATAATCATTGCTCATTTTGAGTTTTTGAGGGTACCCATTTTTTGGATGAGAGGGAATGCGGTGGGCACCACGGTTCTCCCGTTGGAGACACATACGCATATGTATACAATATATTAATACACATACATACGCATATGTATACATATATATATATATATACATACATATGCTTTCGCTCCCCCTCCCCCCGCCCGCCAGGAACTACATTTGAGGCATGCGTGTCTGGTTCAACCAGGTTTAAAGGATAATCTGCTCATTTGCTCATCCGTGTCTGCGCCCACCAAGTACCAAGATGTCAAAGCAACCTATAGGCATCTGCATCTGTGTCCTCAAAATGAAACAGAAACAAATTGTTGAGCAAGAGGTGAAAAAGTCACGCGGAAACAACAAGTAAGTGATGCGGAAGTGATGAAAACGAGGAAGTGACAAGGAACACTTGGCTCTGCATTTCAATCTCAGACCACGCATTTTGTTTGGATGGTGGAGCAGCCATTCTGGCTCAACCATTTTAACAGGCTGAAAGCCGCGGATGTCCAGCATCATCGCTCTTTGCGTATCTTTGCATGCCTTTTTGCAGTCTTCAAGTCCATGCTTAGGGCAAACCTGGAGTATCGCGACAAGAATCGGATTATTTGTCAAAAACATTGGGGTTCGCGACTGAGGGCTCAAGATCCAAAAAAAGGATTTTCTCAGGTTTAAGCATTCTGGGTTCCAAGTTCCAAGGTTCAAGATTCCCGGTTCTCATGAAGAAGATCTTGAATCTTGAGTCCCAAAGCATAGTATCTCCCAATATTATTGAATTGCACGCAGGCACTTGACAGATGGCAAATGGCAACATCATTGCTGGTGTCGCAAATGTAGATATATCTATATACATATATATGTATATGTACATATTTGATCCCGGTCCAGGGCCCGGCACGCCCCTTCCTGCCCGGGCCCCCGCCCACCCACGGAGGGGCGCTCTGTTTTGCAAGATCGCTAAGCATGCTGCTGCTTGCGCTTGCGCCATAGTCCGGAAGTAAACTGGTAGCTGCCTCTGCTGATGGCGAACTTAGCAAACAAACGAACTTGGCAGACTTGTTCCGGTTCATCTCCCGAATGACCTCGTTGCCTGTTGCGAGTGACATGTTGTGTCCTTAAGGTGCCCCGACAACATTGAAGCAGCCCTAGACCATGACTGAAAAGGCAGCATTCGTCAAACGGCCAAGAAACCCACACTCAAGCAACCCCACATCCACAGGGGGGGGGGGGGTGGGGGCGGTGGGGGTGCAGGCCTGAAACATATACATATGTATACATACATACATACATATATATATATATATATACGTATGTAGTTGGCCCCATTTCTGCCACAAAATCAATAGTGAAAGCAAACATACTGGAAAACACAGCTAAAACCAAACAGCCTAGGTCCAGGGGGCATTGGTATCTATTACTATGTTCACACAAAAACTTATGATTATCATGACTGAACTTGTGTTTTGGTTGGTTAGTGCAAGTTCTGTTTTTTCATTTGACTCTGAACAGCGGATAGCTAAACATGCGACGTTTGTTCATGAGATACTCTAGGAAATTGAAGGTGGGGGACATGTGTCTTGTCTAGTGTTGCAGGTTTGAAAGCAAAGGAAACAGAACATATGAATGACAGGCAAATCATAAGTGTCTAATTAGTGAACGGATGTTGTTAACAACATTGGGCTGAATAAGACCATAATGATGTTGAATGTCATGTGAGTGACATGGGCTGTATTTCATGCCAGCTGCGATTACACTACTGTAGCCTGGGTGTTTTCTTTCACGGTGTTTTAGTAAGTTACACTCTTGATCGTGGCTGTTGATAGAAAGTGTAAAGCAAATGGAATTAGTCAAAGGAAGTTTAGTTAGAACTTCCGAAATACGAAAAGTGGAGTTAGCCACATGCGAAACACGCGAGGGGTAGCCCTGTTTTGCGCAGGGTCGCCACGGTCTCGCCACGGTCTCGGAAAGTTCCCCAATGGCACAGCCGCGCAGACTGTTTCGGAGGTGTAAATCGCGAGGCAGGCGCAACATTTTGCAGCCATGCAAGGTCAAGTGCAGATTTTGCGGCAGGCACAACACTTTCCCAAGGCGGAATACAGATTTCGTGGCAGGTGCAGCACTTTTGCAAGGTCAGGTGGTAGATAGATTGATCGATAGATAGATCAAAGGAAAAAGAGAAAGAGAGAGAGAGAGGGAGAGAGAGAGAGAGAGAGAGAGAGAGAGAGAGAGGGAGAGAGAAAGACACAGAGAAGAAAGAAAGAAAGAAAGAAAGACAGAAAGAATGAATGAAAGAAAGAAACGAGGAAAGTAACAAAGACAGAAAGAAAGAGAGGAAGGAGTTAAAGAAAGAAAGCAAGAGAGAAAGCAAAGGACGTCCCGCCGGCCAACCCGACTGCGGCAGCCATTTCGGCCAAAAAAGGTGCGCGGGCGTGGAGCAGGGGATGCTTTCTTTCTCTTCATGCAGGCACATCTCCTTTGTAGAAACTTCCGCCCTCCAGCTGTGCTGGAGTAGACCTGGTAATAGACGTAGCGCTTTGGCGATGAGAAACGCAAGCCAGCCTTAACTTTTGGTGGCTTAGCAAGTAACTAAGTATGCTTACTTTTCAAGTTGGTGGCTATATTACGGCTTTCCACAGAAACAACAGCAATGGTATCAAACCTTGTATCGCTACTACTCACCGAGTCTTTCAACCACAAGCATCGCTTCGACAGTACAGAGTTTTTTCAAGACCTGCCCGAGAAGGAGTCGATTTCCACATAACAAAGAGAAGTAGAAGAACCGAGATAGAACTTCGCAACAGTTTGTTACAAATGGTATGACATGTAGAAGGCATGCGTCCATGTTATATATAAATAGTGCCACAAAGGTAATGAGTTTCACCATGCCAATGATGATAGACTTGACGCGCTGGTATTGTGGTGATGTGTTTTCATATTGATATTGATAAAGTGTTGTTGAAAATAGTCATGGTAAAAAACAACTAGCGAACGGATATGATTCTGATACTTGTTGTATTCCGGAGCTTCAGGCGGGTCATGAACGTTCTGAGCTGTGGCAAACGGCTTGGATCCTGGGCGACTCAAGGTTGCCTTTGTTGGCCGCGTCGCCGTAACTCCTATGTACATTGGCCGGCAGCTCGTGTACCAACTAGTCTTGACACGTTCCCAGATGATCAAGAACAAACACAAACCATGTTGTATTGCAGTCATGGGTTTTTGCACAGTTTTCGCGCTGTCAGCTCATCAGGGGCACTAACTGGACCACAGAGGAAAATCACCCAAAACTGTTCGGGCTCTTTCGCGCAAATCACTAGGAACACTTACATGTTACATGAGCCAACTGATGGTTCATCATTCTCGATTTGTCCCCTCGGCTCGCTCAGGTGGACAAGAAAAGCTGGAACGCCTTGATGAGGCAAGCCTACATCGAGGGCGCTGTGGCAGACTTGGGCTTCCAACGGCTGCGCATGGAATCTGGCAAAGATACGGACGTGACGCCTGGCGACGTGGTCAAAACATTTTGCGATGAGAGTACCTTGGAGCAAGCTCGCCAAAGGACCCAAAAAAGCCTGAGGTTCCTTAGAAGACCCATTTCGGGTCGAATTGCGGTGCTGTACCTAGACATTTGAGACAGCTATTTTGTTGGCAGTTTGTCGGTTGGGGGTGCCCTTTATTTTCACGCAATGGGAAGTTGGAAAATGGAACTCCTTAAGCCTTGTCCCTGGGGGATGTTCTTTTTCATAGTCCAAGCATTCGGGTCAAAGAGCACATTGCCGGTTTGAACAAATCAACTTCCATCCATTCGCTTGAGATGCTCTTTGTGGTCGGTGTACAGTTTTCCTATTGGGCTGAAAGGGAAATTCTCATGACTGGTGGTTGTTTTTTACAACCACAAATCTCTTGGGAGGAGAGGTTGTACTCAACCTCAAGTTGATACTGATGGACGAAATCGGTTTCGCACCGCTCAGGACCGCTGGTTTCTGAAGATCCCCTGTAAATATGAAATGGTTTCAACCATGGTTTAATTTCGTGGTGCGAACGGATCCGTTTCGTGTCCATCCACAGTAGTTCGAAGACAAAAAACAGGACTCCGGGGTGGGTGATCCGGATCGTTCTCTCGCCTTGAGCGTCGCTGTGTAGTTGTTTTTACTAGTACTTGTTTAGTACTATTTCCTACAGTAGGTTCTTTTAAAGTAGTTTTTCAGTACTCTTTTAATATGCTACTGGTTGGTGGATCCTCGCAAAAACTTTGCATCCAAAGCGTTTCCAGATTGGCCTACGGACTCCTGTAGTTGTTTTTCCGTTTTTCTAAAGCTACCAGGGGTTCAAAGTTTTCTGAGAGAAACGTGGGGGTTGATATCCATATTCCGATTCCCATTAAAAGGCCAAATCCTAGTTTCGACCATGGGTAACCTTTTCTATGTGGTTGAAGTATCATTTTTTGTGTGGTTATTCATTTGCAATGGTCATATGAGCAACCGTCAAAACTCTCGTCAATGGAGATATGTATTCGGTGGACATCGGTTTTCCAAAAGTGCAGATTCCTGTGGGAAACGATGGGGACCTCCCAAAAACGATGCCCTTGTTTTGCATACATTAACTTTTGCAGAGTGAAGTTGCTTGCTTCGCTTGATCGTGGAGGTTCAAGCCGGAATGGAGACCCTCCAAACAACGGAAACCCATTACATCAGGACTTGGCAGCTTCTGGCTGAAGAGAAACCATTGTCGGTTGCCGCTGTTTGAAGCTCCGGGTGGCCATGCTTGAAGCAAAACCATTTTTCAAAGAAGATGGGCGCCAAAGCGATGCCCAAAGCGATGCCCCAACGATGCCTTCAGCGATGCCCAAAGGTCACCAAGTTGAACAGTTGCCCATTTAGTTGCCAGACATGCAAGAAGCTGAAAGCAGTAGCTCCGACAGTTCGGCCTCTTACGAATGTTGAGTGCTGTGGTAGGCTGCCTTTAACCAGCTCTGCGCCCTGTCTTCCAGACCCGTAATTGAGCATACGTAAGAGCGATGCCCTGGAACAACCAAACGTGGAAACATGTGTGAAGCGATGGGGACCTGCCAAATTTGCGGTGTCCATTGCGACATACAAGGAGTTTAGACAGCCGCACATATCACGTACGGACCTTTTGATCAACCCCCCCATGGCTCGTCCCCCATTCTGTTCTGGTGTTTTTAGAATTGACACCGAAGGACAACGGGGATCCAGTTTGGGGGGTCCAACCAAAGGACGAGCCACATTTGCCGCAGGTATGCAGCATCCCTCCTGGACCTTCGAGAAAGTCGCGGAGAACTATTGCAAAACTCCGCCCGATTCTTTGTACTTCTTAGAGTGAGGCAACCGCCGAGGGAGTGAGGCAACCGCCTAGCACCGACCAGTCTTGGCAGCTTCAAGGCTCCGCTGCTTGCAAGGCACCAATGTCTCAGCCAATTCCTCAGCCACTGATACTTGGCAAGTTGAACCGAGATACGTTGGCCCTTGTTGGCAAAGTGAGTCGTAGCCAGTGAGCCAGGTTTTATTTGGGGCGCCCACAAAAGTGGCCTGTCCGTTGACCGTTCTTGTGCAGACCTGGAACCTCCTTCGGTTCAACACACTGACTTCACCCAACTATTGCCACACTGTTTAGCAAGACGCCTTGCATTCCTAGTGTTTAAGTTGGTGGTGTTGTGATTCTAGCAGCTCAAGCACTATTTATAGCCAGTCTTTGGTGATAGCACGACGGCCCAAGGGCTGTTTTGAAAGATATATGAAGATATGTGTATCCCTTTGAGCTTCCAGGCTGCTTTTGTATGGATGCCGCCTAAGCGGCAGGGTGTTGACGTCGCAGGTGACAAGTCGCCATGTTGCGGGTGTCACAGAATGTTCTTCCCTCTTTTCACCTATGTGATTTGATGGTGATCGTTGTCCAAGGGAGGTTTGCCGATTGGCAATGAGCCCCCACGACATGCAATTCATTGCATGAGAGGCTGATTTCGGTTGGATAATCAGCCGTAGGCGGAGTGAGTCGCCCAAAAACAGTTCCCCGCGCCACTCATCCAACGGGATGCTTCCTCCAGGGCGTCCGATTGTTGAAGAAAGGATACCGGACACCTTATGAAGGTCTAGTTCCATCAACTGCTAAGCTGAGGAGTCTGAAGTGGTCACACGAGCAGAAGACAGCATGACCTGTTCACTGCAATTTGGAACTGGTTTGAACGTGTGTTGGATCCTTGACTCGTTTCTCAGCAAGGCGAAGCAAAACAAAGGGGGGCCGCCTCAGTTTGCAGCGACCGCAGTTGAACGCTTCTTCAGGCCTTTTGAAGCGGCCGCAGGGCAGAATCTGGCTTGCAAAGCAGCCTGATTCCAAGTTGGTCACGGAAGGAGTGTGGACCCGCCAAAGTTTCAAGTGAGCTTCCTCCGCCAGGGAAATGGTGGAGTCCTGACGTCAGGGGAAAAGAAACGCACGGGCGACGAACGAGGGAGGCCGGAAGAAAGGCTCAGCTTGCATCCTTGAACTGGCATGGAAGACATTTGACCTTCCCCGTCACGAAGGCTAGCTATGCTAGCATCGAGTTCTTCTTTTGGCTTCCGGGATGGGATTTGTCAATCCTTCAGGAAGGGGCCACTTCCGATTGAATCCGACAAACTCTTTGCGGTTAGGGGAATATTTTTCATCTTGCGCAAGTTCCGGCAATGACTTTCTGAGGTGTGCAAAAAAGAAAAGAACAGGTTATTCTGAAACTATCTTGGAAAATGGGTTGCACACGTCGTCGTCTAGCTCTGCATCACCTCGCAAGTTCTTTTTTTTGCGCTTGGGCAACAAGTGGAGTCCCTGGTCGTTCATTTCCCGGCCAGGGAGTGCCCTGTTCAGCAGACTGTTGGAGCCAAGGGGCTCAAATCGTGGGATTCGTTCATCACCCCTCATTTGGCTGTGGCTCAAAAAACCGGTACCAACATGGAACTCTGGTAAGTGGACACATGGACCAAAACCTGCGTAACCCTCCTGGTCAGTTTTGAGCCACACCCATTTGGGTAATTAGTCCTCATTTCAGTGGAAGAATGGCTGTCAGAGGAGTCGAACTGGGCTATAGAATGATTGGGAATATGAGGGCCAAGAATAGACGACTCCTGTGCAACCTTTCAGTGTGAGGGAATTTCCCACAGGCCAACCTGACTTCACTGTTTTGTTGGTGCTCCAAAGTTTTTGCAAGCCCAAGAGTTGTTGAGATGAGATTTGAGCAAAAGACATGTTGGGTCCTTACCGATTACCGCAAATCTCAAAGGCAACTTGAGCAGTGCCGGCACCTGGCAAGTTGATTTTAGTACGGTCAGCTTACACGGTGTGATATGTTGCATTATGTGCATATTGCCATATATATATATATATGTATATACATTGAGTTACATATACATACATATATACCTTGTTTCCTTGCGCTTCCCCGACCGAGAAGGAGATCACCCGTTAACGCCTTGATGTGCCAATTTAAACCCATTGAGCTTTTGTTGTGCTTCTTTGAGGCGCGCGGCAACTCGCCTTTCCGCGAGAACTTGGGTCGCCCATTTCAAGAGGAGGTGTTTTGTCAAGCAATGGCCAGCCCGAATCAGAGCTTTTGACGTCGGAAGGGAAAGAGCTCGGAGAGGTTTGTTACATAGACTGCATAGACTGCAAGACTACCCTTAGCCACCAAACCACCAATCCAGATCGCCAATTAGGGGGAAGCTGATCTGAAATTCACAGGGCCTTCATCCAAGGACTCTCCAAACCCAAAAGGTCCACACCGTCTGCCTTCGGTGGGATTTTTTTGGGTCATTAGAGTGAATCATGGCTTTATGGCTATTCGGTAGCGGATCTCTGGACTTTAACTTTAATTGAACTGGATTTTCCCAATTGCATTCATAAACAGTGAACACATATTTGTGCGGAGGGGTCGTTGCAGCAACCAAGATGGGTTGACTCTGGCTGCTTGGGATGCATGGCCGCATGTTTGGCCCGGCCATTTTTTTGCGCCGTCCAACGTGATTCCCAGAGCTAGTGTTGCGGTTTCTCTTTTGAGTCAAGCCCTTTTTTCCATGGAAGTTGGCCCGCGAGTCGCCCGAGCATGGCATGCGTTAGCCACCAACGGCCCGATCCGCGCGGTTGGTCAGAATCTCCGGCCGCCGCGAGTGGAGACACGCCATGGCATCGCAGGCAGGGCGTCAGAACGCGATGCGCCCGAAGTGAGCGGGAAAGACCTGGGTGTGGGTCCAAAAATCGGTACCCAAAATGGATCCCTGGTAAATGGAAACATGGACTAAAACCTGCGGTCCCCTGGTGGTTTAATTTTGACCCATACCCACCTCAAAGGGGGGTGTCTGAAACTGGGGGACCCCCACAATGGCGCCACGGCTTTCCTGGGGGTTTTTATGACAAAAGCAATCCCAAAAAGGGACCCCCCCAAAAAAGTCAAGAAAGTCACACCCTCCCAATGGTCTGGACATGGAAAATCGTACAGCTGCTTTGTGGGTTGGGGGTCATGTATCAGTTCGATCCAAGTTTTAATCACAGGGAGAATGACTTCTACGTTTTGTTCCCTGGTCCCTGCATGTTTGGAGCCCTATGGCCAATAGCTACTGGACTTTGGAGAGACAAAGTAACTCCATGTTGGAGCCATGCTGTGGTTTGCGATGCGTTCTTGTTTGCCACCTGCAAAGGGAATCAAGTTCGGGCCGCTCGGTTTTTGGTTTTGGCCGGCGGATCTGGTCCTGGCGGATCCGTTGCGGATCTGGAACATATCAACCTTTCACGGCAACCATGTGGTTGGCTACTGCCAAAGTGCCAAGTTTTCCAGTGGATCTCTCAAGAGGGGGCACGAGACAATTTCTTGCGAGAAAGGGGAAGAGTGATCTCCCCTTGCAGCAAACGAAGATCCCAGGGAGCAGACACAAGTGCAAAGCCAAGAAAACGAAGCAATCGCTTAGGCCTTCGATCCCAAGCAGCTAAACTCGAGAAGATGTGACAGGCCCAATGGCTCGGCGCCTATGAGCTCAGCTATGGAATAGGCCCAGATAGGGTTCTGGTTTCCTTTAAGGCAATCCCTAGGTGCATTCCCAACACCCAGAACGGTCATTCCCTACTGAGCACAAGCAAGTTGATTTGGGCGAGTCGTTTTTTTCTTTGTTTTTTTCTCTGAAAAAACGGTACCCCTTATTGGTTGATGGGAAAGGGACAAAGAAAGAAAACGGAGTCCCTCGCAGCCATGGCTCAAGGGCCTTTCGAGAGCGAGGTTCTCGAAAGGTCCGGAGCTGAAGGCTGGTGAAACCGCCGAAGCCGCCTTCCGCGCCCCGGCTTGGTGCAGATTTGTTCGCTGTTGGTTTCTCTTTTTTTGTTTTTTGGCGGTTCACAGCTAGGTGCCCTTTAACCCTGTTTTGGGCGAGGGTTCCCCTACTGAAATAGACTACAGAAAAAAAAGGGTACCCTCTCTACTGGAGGACCTAGTTAAGGATCAGAACAAGCATGTTAAGATAGTATCAGCAAAGCTGCGCCTGAATTCGCAGCTTGTCGTTCGGCTCATTCACGTGCCGTGATGAGCGATAAGTGTTTCTAGTTTGTTTGTCAAATTGTCAGGGTTTACCAACCCTTTTGGCTGAAAGGCAGGTGCCTAGGGGGCCACTCGGAACCGCTTGCAGCGACTGAGGCAACAAAGAAGTACCTTTCCGCCACTCGGGCGGATTGGCCGCTTGGCGATGGCATAAGTTGCCTGGGAGTAAATCTTCGACGCTCTGGTGGCCTTGAGATTTGAGTGGTAAGACCACAAGTTGACCGTTTGTTGGGTGACACCTAGTAAGTGAGCATCAGGGCCCGGAACTCCAACTGACTCATGGTCGTTCAAGTCATACATATGCAGAGTCTCAACTGTTGTCTTTGCTTTGAGTTTCACCAAGCCACTTGTTGTGCTTTTGTTCGTTGAGCTGGTTTGGATTTGGTTTTCCTAGCCAACCTAAAACCCACTATGAAAGCCAGCCCCGAACAACTCTCAACTGCCACCCCAAAGCCAAAAGGCAGCCCTATGTCCAACTGAGGCAGGTGGATGTGCCCCGGCAGGAATTGACTTTTGGTCCAGCTGATGCTGGGGATGGTGCCAAGGGGAACCCGACCATCCGCAAAATCAGCCGAGTTGGTGTCCCCAACAGCCCCGGAATCCCCTGAACCTCCATTTTCTTTGAAAGCCCTCCCTGAAATCTGATCCAAACCCAGAGCCCATTCAATGGGCTCTAGGTTTGGAGCAGATTTCAGGGAGGGTTTAAAAGGGGGAGGGGGCCCATCAGCTGCAAAAGCATCCAGGACTCCCGGCGATGGTTTTCCCCACCGCTGGGTCCCTGGGTCTGCCGCCCACGCGCTTTGCGCTGAAAGCGCGGCCTTACTTCATGGCCCTGCTGGGGGCGCCTCGATGAATCGGGTAGACGTGGGTGAGAGAGGATATCTCTTTTCCAGTCTCCATGACCCTGTAAAAATGGGTCCATGACCCCATTACTTTGGGTAATGACCCCATGTTTAAGGGTCATGGAGACTCCAGGTGGTTGAAGTGGTGAAATCTGGGTGTAAAACTCGATCGCATGTTCGGGAGGTCCAGAGACGTACCTTTGCCGGCCTTTTGATTTGAGGAAGTCACGGGTTGAAGCACTTGGTGGTGCGGTGCAGTCCGAAAAGAGGCATTAGGGGTACCCTCTTTCCAATCATCACGATGTCCGGTCTTCCAAACCCTCCTGTTCACGTTCATTGCTGAGAGGATTTGTTGCGCGCTTGAACTGCCAAATAGCCCGGCTTTGCTGCGCGCTTAGCCCCGATGTACTTGTCCTTGAAGCAAATACTTGGGGATAGATATCGCTTTTGGTACTTGTAGGCCTGTTTTAAACACGTAACCCCATTTGGTCAGTTGATCCCTCACAGGAGGGTGAATCAATCAGGGAGTCATGATGTACGCCAAGTGGAGGTGCCCGATTCCATCTCAGGAAGCCCGCCTTCCATGGAAGATTCTTGCCCTCCCACCAATCAACATGGAACCTTACAGGGAAATGGTCCCTTTAAAAGGAAAGTTGTCTTTCAAGACCCCCCGAAAGCCCATGTTAATTGGTGCGAGGTCACCCCCCCCCAGTTTTACCTGAGAAACCCGTCCTAGCACCAATGCAGCTTTGTGTCGCGATCCAAAGTTTGAGTAAGCACCGCAAGGTTAGCCGACCGCACCTGGCTTTGCAGCTCTGTTATCGTTGCAAGGCAAGCTTGCGCTTATCGCCGATTCTGCATTTGTCCCAATTATTCCGAGATGTTCCATGTTCATATTTTGATTTTGAGGGTAGCCATGTTGAGGGTGAAGCCCCTGTTGTTTTTCTCCACAAGAGCCAATGCACTGGGACAAGTCCCCGAAACGCTTGGTCAAGGCCATTTGAGCAGCAGTTTCTTCCCAGTTCAACTGTTCGTCATTGACTTTCAGTGTCAGCAACTCCTACAGTGTAGCGGGAGTAACATATTTTCGCTTACCCACTTGAGTCCCCAGTTAAATACTGCTAGGTCCCCCAGTAATGCCCTTGTACCCTTTTTGGGGGGGAGGGTACCCTTAGTCTAACCTCTCTACTGGAGGACCTAGACAGGTAGACCAATCATTTGCACATCCTCCGGGGAAGCAGGTTGACGTCGGAAGGAATCCTCAGAGGATGTGCTCTCGAAGGCACTCTAGTTATGAAGCACCTCTCGCAACGCCATCCCTTGCGACACTCGAGTCCAGCAACACCTTCCTTGCCTGGCCTTTTCACTATTGCCGTCCACCTGGAGTCTCCGTGTACCCAAAATAATGGGGTCATTACCCCACTCTTAAGGGTCACGGAGACTCCAGGCAGATTGTTTTTGCTCGAGGCGAGTTTGACCGAAGCTTTCTATCGGCGTATCAATCAGCCAAGGTGCAGGCTGCGCTCATGGTTGCAAGGCGCGAGCTGCGAGCGGGGACGTTTGCGAGCTGGGAACATTCGCCCCTCCCCTCCCGTGTTTCACCCTGAAAGATGTGAGTCATTCATGTATTTGGTGTTTGTTTTTGCAGGATTTGGACCCCCCAACAAGGATTTCCGTTTTCCTGTTGGTGTCCTTTCAAGACACCACAAAGAAGCATTGGCTTCGAAAACCGACGCGCCCATGGTGTGCCTTTAGTGCAAAAGAGCAGGGGTGTACCAAGAAATGGCCGAACTTGTGGACTGCAAGGCCTCCGTATTGCTCACCTTTTTCGCGCCAACAGACACATGGAGAGCTCCGGGGTATTGATGCGGTAGATTTGCAAGCATGGCGGGGGAGGGGGGTGCCAGGCCACACAAAAAACCCTACACAAGCAAACAACACACGCACACAAGAGGACGCACCTCGTGTTTCTGGATTTCTTGGGGAACAAAGGATCGAACTCCAATTCGCAACCCCTTTGAAACCCTGTACCCTGTAATGGTGACTTCCCTGTAAATACCAACAAACAATGGTTTCCCATGGTTTCAATCTGGTGCAGGATTCGATCCATCCACAGTATGGCTTGTTGAAGTGTGATCCCAGAAAGCTCGGGCGATCCTCAGCGACATGGCGTTAATGGCATCTACAATGCAGAGCCCCTAGGTGTGAAACCAGATTTCTTGGACACTGGATTCTAAACTCCTGATATATGCGGGAGGGCTACGAACCAGCAAAGGTATCCCCATTGAAATGCATGCCCGAATTAGATGAGCAAAGAGCTCACAAAAACCGACGTTGCAGTTGTTGTCTTGCGTGCTCCAATCGAACTGGCTGGGCCAATTGGGAGTTGCTGAAAGGATGTGAGCAATGCCTTGCGTGACAATTAGGCCTGCGAAACCTTAAAGTTTCAAACTGGCGCAATTTGACGAGTAAGTTGAGCCTCTAGGAGGCCCTGTGAAACACCGACCTGTTTTGTTTTTTCTTTTCTTCTTTTTCTTTTCGGGACGAGCACAGGAGCAATTGGATGACCATCTACCCACCAACAAGTCTTTTTCCGATTTGCAAAATGGAGCTGTCCAAGCACCAACCGGAGGTGTAAAGGGTCCGGGTTTAGGTCCCGAAGCCGCGAAAAAAGGATCACGGTCTGCGTAGGTTTCTGATCCTGGACGTGTGGGGCGCTTTGCTGTCGCTCCTCATCCTCACCTTAGGCACCTTCGTCCTGTCCTCGGGCGCAGGCCAGCGCTGGGCGTGTGGCTGTTTTCGGGTCATGTTGACCCTGGGGGGTGCTTTTCCCTGGGTGAAATGTGGGGAATCAGCCCACTTTTGGAGGTAAAAAGAATCCTATGAATACACTGGGGTTGATTCGTGGTTTAATATGGGGCAAACATTACGTGGTCCGATTCTTCGATCCAGCCATGACTGTTCGAAAGGTAGCATAAAACACACAGCAAGGGTGTGTCTTGTTTTAAACGCCCCAAAATGGCTTCGGTGTTAGCTGGGGTTACGCAGGTTTTAGTATTTTGTCTTTGGGATGTCTGACTTTTTCGCGGAATCAATGGTGAGTTGGGACTTAATGACCAACCATCCCAGGGCAACCAAGTAGAACCCAAAAAGTGCCCATGTTGTTTGGAGGCGCTGCGACGAGTTGAAATGCATCCTGTCAGAACCACTGTGATTTCGACAATTGTCGAGCTATTCTGAGTGCTGGAGGTTGTAACAATCAGCGTTCCTGCTGTTCGTTCAACATATATGCGAATATCAGATATCGGGGTCAGGATCATGGGTAGTTCTGGCAATCCCTCACCGTCCCCCCGCCCGCGATCGCGCTGTCCATGGCACCGTGACTTGTGACAAAGCTATACCCTCACATGACATGTGGCTCGGCTTTCGCAAGTTGGAACCCCTTGGAGTTGCTCTTGGCCTCTCGAAAACCTGGATGGGGGCTCGCCAGCAAAAGCACACAAAACCAGACAGGGACATTTGACAGTCAGGAAGAAGTCGGTAACCCTTGGCTCGCCTCGCTTGTTTCAGGTGCTTGGCTTTCTGGCTACGTGTTTTTCCGGTGGATATTCCCCGAAAATCCCAAGAAGCCCGTCCGCAAGCAAAGCGCGAGGTGTGGATACCGGATACTGCCTCTACTTTGGACCTTTGGCGCAGATTTGTCGCGATTGAAGGCATCCCAAGTCTTGGTTGGAAGGGGGGCCGGCTCGGAGCTGGGGGTATCCAAATGTGCGCAATTAAAGAGGGAGCCTTTCGGAGCTACTAGGAGCTCATAGGAGCTCTGTAAGGACATGGTAGAAATGCACCAACCTCTGCGAAAGAACACAGTTTTTTTGTTGAGTGTCGTCGACATCGGCCTGGTCGTTCCAGTCTTTGCACGAATGCTGCAACATGTTCTTGTCTCAGCAGACGATTCTTCACACCAGTCTTGAACGAGCTTGTCCAAGGTCAAACACACAATGTACCAAGCATGTAGCGGCTTTGGGGTTCCTGTACTGCATGGACTGGAAAGCAAACAGTCAGATTTGACTTTTTCCCAGTTTTACAATGACTGTCCTCCATCCAGTCTGTCACTCACTGCTGAATTTGGATCACCCCAGCCCGCTAGGATTCCTGTCATGACGGCAATTGCACTGTGCGGCAAATACCTTGTGGCGAGATGCATCTGACCTAAGGATTTCGTGATGGTGGGCAACCATGCAACCCCTAGAGTAGAAAACGTATTCTTGAGCTTTTGGTGAATGAACACAGGCCGGTCACGTTGAACCGTGGCTATCAGGAAACCAGACCTGTCGGGCGGATTGTTCGGGTCCTGCTTTTGGTGGCGAAATGAATTTGGCTCCAAGTCAGGGAACCCCAATGAGTGGTTTTCTTTTGGCTTCCCTCTAAAACCACCCCAAAAGGGGTACCAAACAGAATACGCACCAAAAAAGATTCGTTCAGATTTGAATGGATTGAGGCCTGATGTGCCTGGTGAACGGCATGTTTGATGCCATCCTCTTCTTGGAGAGGGCCATCCATGTGAAGTCTCCCTTGTTCTCCAGGCCGGGCCATGTCGAAATGAGGGCTTTTCCCGACCACCCTTATCAGCAACATAGATGAGGCCCGCAAGTGTAGGAATCCTTATCTTCCCTAGGTCCCCCAGTAGTACCCTTTTACCCTTTTTTTGGGGAGGGTTCCCCTACTGAAATAGACTGCAGAAAAAAGGGTACCCTTATTCTAACCTCTCTAATGGAGGACCTAGTTCCCCAAAGCCGTGGCAAAAGCACGCTTTTGAAGCCAGGCAATGTTGGGTGATGAAAAACAGCGGACATGCGTCATGATGTGGCGCTCGCCTCTCGTTGAGGATTTCAGCGAGGAGATTGCCAATCAGCATTGCTCACGTTTTGATTCATCTCTGTTGTCCAAAGCCGACCACCTTTTCGTTTGCCTTATTTCAAAAGGTCAACCTTTTATTTCTGGGTCCTTTTGGGCAACTGAGTAGTCCATGTCTGACCGAGCTAATGATCTTTGCAGAGCACACGGGTAGGGGCGTATACGCCCCTTGCATGTTGATCCCAGCGATCCTCATCCCTCGGTGCGGTTGTCCAGTTTTCCCGGGCACGTGACTGCGGGTGTTCTTTGGGCTGTGCAGTTGAAAGCCACGGGTGCTTCGTGATTTGTTCAAGGTTGGACCTCCAAGATGGTTTTTAGCAGAGCTCTCCCCCAACCCCCCCCCCCCCAACAAAAACACAAGTACCCCAAAAAAGACACAGGCAAATGTCGCGGAGGCATGTGCGGAGACCCAAGCCTAAGTTGTTAAATAAATGCCCGTTTCTGGTTGGATTGATTCTCGTGCGTCTTGTTGTTGAGAATACGTTGGAGTTGGAGACCAAACCCAAAATAACCATTTCGCGGTCTTCTACTTTTGAGATGACTTGTTCCTGGGAGGTTGCTCCCATGTCTTTCTAGGAGCATTCTTTCCAGGGATCCTTCTTTCTGGAACACCTCCGGGAGCCCAGGGAAAACGGCTCCGGTTTTTGGAAAGAACGATGGTTGAAAAGAATGGAAAAGGACTCAATCTAGTCTCATTTTTGAGATGACTTGTTCCTCAGTTCGGGTCTTTCTTGCCTTTCTTTTTTAAGGGGTTGCTTCCATGCCTTTGCAACCCCTAGAACATTCCCTACCTAGTTTTTCATTTAGTTTTCCGAGTGGAAGAGACTTTGTTGATTCCCCATTCTTTTCCCTAGAGTCTTTGTTCCCCCCCGTTTTTCCCGGACCCCCACACCGCCAAACCCCGCATCCCGCATCCATGGACCGCTCGAAGGGCGGCGCCGCTGGTCTTCAACGCGGCGTCGGTGGTGTACCTCACCGCCCCTGTGGTGGAGCTGGCAGCGGCGGGACGCCCAGAACTGGATCCCCCAGCGGAGAGACGCGATTGGAGGGCCGCTTTAAGGCTGAAAAAATGTGAAGCACCGAGAAAACAAATAGATATTGTGTATATAATATATATATATATATATATACATATCATTTCACATATATGGGTATGTATCATTATGGGGGAACCCCAAAATGATTCGTATATGGGTTTGTGTCAAAATGGGGGAACCAGCCAAAATGGTGGGTTGCCTTGGTTTCCCTTTCAAGCTACCCAGAAATCACATATATATATATACATAAAGTATGTTATTTGGTGTACCTCTGGCTTAAGCTTGGGTTTTGTTGGGAGCTTTTGCCTCATGTTTCAACCATTTTCTGGAATCAAGGGGAATTCGAATCTGGAACAGATGATTTTCCCTTTGGCTTCCCAACAAGTTTCCCGTCAAACAAGCGGAACACTCTGTGTGAAGGGTGTTTCCCTTTGTTTCAACCCAAAAAAGGAAACACCCTGCCACTGCTTTTAAGGTCTTACCAGTCTTTTCTGTCCAAAGAATTCCGAGCCACTGGCTTTCCACGGACTTTCCGACGCAGGCCTCCCTTGCAGCGGCCATTTATGTAGAGGCCTCAGAGCAGGACTTGCGATCTCAGACCGGGGCCTGTCCGCGCGTAGGTTGAAAATCGGGGAATGGGAGGCTTAAAAGTGTGTCAACATGTGTCACTCGAGCACAATTTAGTGTATTTGTTTGACAAACACAGCCGGGACAGCCCCCTTTTGATGGCCGGCCCTTGCCACGGTTTTGCCTTGTGGATGTTCAGCTTGGGAAACAACGAGGGGACGCCAGAAAAGGGCAAACCGAATGTCGCCAAGTATCCGGAAGTGTCGCGAGTGTCCAAGCACCACCTAGCAACTAACCAGCAAATTGTTTGGGCTGTGGGCGGTTTGTCAAGACCTCGAGTCAGAACTGGACCACAGTTGCCCAGTGGGTTGTTTCCTTTTTGTGTTTTTTTTGGGAAGGGTTCCACTTTAACCTCAACCAACCAAAAAAAAGATGTTTTTTTTGTCTTATAGAAATCCACTGGGCATCTGAGGGAGTTCTGTCCGCGGATTCGGAAGGAGAGCCGGCTGCTGATGCCTGCCCTCGCGCAGTTGGAGATCTCCAACGACGGCGAGGCGAAGCACCGATTTGTTCAGAGCCTTGACCGCCTTGGAAACGTGTTAGCCCAGCGCTGCCCACGGGTTTCTCATGGGATATCTCATCGGTTTCCACAAATTTCCCCAGGCCGCTTTGGGTTTGAACTTCTCCAGCCTCACTTGGGCAATTGATTGAGCGGAATGTAAGGCTATGCAAATGCCGTCCACTCGCCAGCAAATTCTTCGGGCGGTTGCATGGCTCACTTTGAACAACCAGTCAGTCGACAGTGCTGTTGGTATACTTAGGCTACCTATTTTGTGGGGCACAAGAAACAAGAGCCTGTCGATAGTGTGACGTCGAACAAACGCCACAATCTATAGCGATCTTCACCCCCGGCCTCCAATGATGATGTCTAGGAAGGATATGCATCCATCAAGGTTCCCATGTGATATATATATATATATATATAAGTATTGATTAGTTTTCATGTGTCCCATGCGTAAAGAGAGGTGCGCCATCTTCAGTGCGGAGTCTCGGAGTGCGGCTGGGTCGCGGTTCTTCTCGGTGCTCTGAGCTTGTGATGGGTCGCTTCGCGGATAAAAACCTATGAGTTTTCAACAGGTTAGGAAAGTAGTCGAGTTTTGAGCCAGTTTTGGCATTTCACTTCTCAACCGGCAGGTCTTTTTCTGCTGGCCAAGCGTTGCGCCAGCGTCTGCCTTTCAGAAAAAAATACAGGACTGCATTTTGATGTGTGCAAGCCCAACTCCATGTCATTCCCATATATGTATATTGTCCAAAAAGAGCAACAACAACACGGAGTCCTCCATTTCTCGCGTGGCAGGCCCGGCGTTCGGAGCAGTTCAGGGCCTTCACAGGCGATTGGGTCCGGTTTGGTCTGATGGGTTTGGTCTGATGACGCTTTTTTGGTCTGGTGATGGCATAGTTTGGATAAAAAACATGTGGATTTGTAAGTGGGAATCTGAATGTCCTAGAAACCAGATTCGGGAAGTTATGGATCCACCCCTGGATATTAAAAGATTACGAACAGAATACAAAAAGGGTACAAGGGAAAGAACGTGTGCATCCAAACCGGTTTCTAGACAAAAAAGTGGTTGATCTCTAGCTTCTAGGTTCCAACCTGGTTGTGCAAAAAATTTAAAACATTGTCAATGCCGGAGATCCAGTTGCCCTATGGGTCAGGCGTTGTCTTTGCGGCACCAGTGCTGACAAGCAAATTGTGGATGCTCCTGGATCGCTTTCGATGTGCTTGAGAGGTTGCTCCCGAATCCGGTGGAGTTTGTCGGAGGTAACCCGTTCTGTTGGATGGCTTGAGGTACCCGTTTTGCTGCGGGTTTGTTTCTGGTCGAAAGGGAAAGTCACGGAAACCACAAAAAAGTGACAGAGGCTAGGCTTTTGTTGAGACCCGTTTTGGGGTGGTTTAAAGGCACCCATTTTGTGACCAAACCAACACAAAGGTTTGTAGGACAAAAGTACAGGACACAGGAGATGCCATCATCATACCATCGCCGTAGCAGCTTGGTGCTCGGGAAGGAATGAACCGTTCGAAGATTCCTTCGACATGTTTCGACGGTCCTTCCATGTCTCATTGCCTGATCGCGGCAGAGCTGGGCCTCCGAAGCCGGGTTTGTTCCCTAGCTGAAAGCTATGATCAACCCCAGATAAGCTCTGCGGCTTGGGGCAGCTGAATCAGGGAGGGTCAAGAGGAGGGTTTTGGGGCTGGGGATAACACCTGGGCTTACTTTTGGCTCGTTTGTTGAAAAGGCCGATAGCAGCATTTGTGGGCGGCGAGTCGCCGTGCGTTGGACGCCGAGCAGATTCACCCCACAAAACGGGAGCAGGACAGCCTAAAGACGCGCAAACCAGGGCAATTCCAACAACATATCATAGTGAATCGGGTTCAGAGCGATTCTTGCACTGGGCCTACGAGCGAGCACTTGTATGAGAAGCCTACAAAATGAGCAGAGATACGGGCAGAATGACATTCGAGGTATTTTTGCTCGATACGACTTCTGATTTTGTTTTACGTGGAACCTCCAAAATGCGGTTCTGCAGCAGGGTCCTCTGGTTCCATCACAAGCTTCAGCTGGCAATTTTATTTGCCGTGCATGATGAACTTCGAGACTGATTTTCGGCCGACTTGCAGGCCGAGGCTACCACATCTGAGCAGCGAAGCTGCAGTCGGTGGGTCGCCAATAGCGCACGCGGACCCAAAGCGGATCGGCTCGAAAGAGATTCGACCGCTGGCGAAGAGCGGCAAAAAGAACGTCAGCAAACAGGAATGTGATTTGGAGTTTGTAATTCGACATGGCTTGATGAGATTCTTGTTTTTTTTTAGTTGTTGGCCCTTTTTTTGTGAATGGGATTTAAAGGTTCCTTGATGTTACAGACCCCTTTGCCAGTGTGTGTGTTTGCCCATAGGAAACACCCATCAACTGGTTTGCATGAGTTGGCCAACAGCTCGCCAGGGGATTCCGACCTGGCCAAGCATGTGGTGCTCTGAGTACCGGATGGCGGGAGGTCATTCTGGCAATGTTCGGGACTTGGCTCCAAACTGTAAAACAAATTGTCGGTAAGCCCAACTGGGGGGGGGTTGTTTTACCAGTTAGTTAGGCGTTGGGGCAGGCAAGGCTACACCCTCAGCCATTGAGTCTCCGAGAAATTCCAGAAGCAATGCCTCACCGATGTACGGATGTGATTTGACAAGTTGCGGTGGGTCACAAGTCCCTTCCACGACTACCTTTTCCCACATGGGTATGCATGGAACCATCCATGGAGAAATTAGAACTGAGAAATCAATGAATTTCCCAAAAGGTGCGACATGTTTGATTTTTCGGGATGATACTATGAAGCCAACTATATTGGAAGAGTCCAACTGGTTTCGATACGTGGGGGTTGAACGATATTCGTGGCCCCAAAATGACCATTTCCCATTTAGTGGGAAATATGCTCTTTTTAGGGGATTTCCCCAATGATCACTTTTTCTCAACCCCTACATAACGCCAAATGCCACAAGGTTGTGGCTTAGCGCTCTATGGGATTTTGATACACGTCTCTCTTCGCATGCCAAGGCCGGCTCAGGCAAGCACATCGAGGACTGGGGGCTCCCAGGTCCGCACATTTGTGGGGCATCCCCAAAGAGGCCAAATCCACGCCTCCTTCCTGCCACTGTCGCAGTCCACTTTCCGACCTGAGAAAATTGAGGTGTTTAACTCACTTCCTGAGTCGTACTTTAGTCACTTTTGAGGTTTGGACCATTTTAGTGGTAAATAGAAAGTTTGGGTACCTTTTTTTTGAGGTGTTGTTTCGAAGGTCAGGCAGACACAATGACCATTCCCAAGACAGCTTCTCTGCGTGAGCAAAAGGAAAATAGTGCATATGGAGCCCCCCCTGGCTGTTTCTTCCAGTTGGGCTCCAAATCCCCAAACCAGCTGGGTGGAGCTTTTTATTGTGCCGGTCACTGACCAATGGGAAGTCATTTTCCAAACGCTCCTGTGCTTTTTTCGTTGCATCCTCGGCACTGAGCCGTCCACCCCCACCTGGAGATTCCTTTTCCATGAATTTCCTGGTAGTTCTCGGCGTTGACTTGCTTTTCGTAAATCTCGATGTTTTTCTTTTTTTTCTGAAGTCGCCTAAAACTACTAAAGCTCCTATATTTTTGTGAGATTGCAGAATTGGTACGGTTTCACGTCTTCCCCGCCCAGAATTACCCGCAAAACGCCCGCAAAAAGCCCGCAAACGCCCGCAAAACCCCGCAAACGCCCGTAAATCTGAAAAAGACGGTTTTTGGGCTCGGGGGTCGCGCAAAACTCCTAGAAACCACTTAGAACGCCCAACATGCCCAAAACTACCAGAAAACTAAAATGCCTAGGAAAAGGCCGGAGAATGAATCTCCAGGCAGAAGCCATGGGAAAATTCAGATGCCATGGCTCGTCCTTTTTGAGGGCACCAACATGGCGCAACGGTTTTCCCTTCGGTATTTTGGCATCCATGTACCAAGCAAAAAGGGGGTCCAATCAAAAAGACAGACAGGCATGCTTAGTCCTATAGTAGATCCCTTCCCAACTTTCTGTCGCACCATAGCAATTAGATAGTTAGTTCTGGGGAGATATCCGAACTCCACCAGAAGCGGTGTTTGGGAAAGGGGTGCGGGGTGGCCGTTTGGCCAACTTTCTGTACAAAGAGGGAGGGAATTGACAGCATTCTTGGAGGATTGCTTCGAGGACATGAACGCCCCTGATTGATTTCTTCTTTGTATCAGACTTCCACTTCGGAAAAGCGAATTCGTGCCTCCTCTTTCTGGCAGGAGCTGGTGCAGTCTGCCGCGCAGTCTGCAGAAGCCGCCGCGCGAGCTGCCGCGGCAGCATTTGCTCAGCTCGGCGGCGGTGGTGTTGGGCGCCTGGCTCTCGACCTCTCAGGCGCGCGCTGAGCAGCTTTCAACCGAAGGGGCCAAAAAAAGCGCTGGTTGGATTGCAGGTTTGCATTGCTTGCTTGACTTGCTTGCTTGCCCGCATTGCCCGCCTGCATTGCTTGCTTGCCTGCCTTCCTGCCTGCTTTCCCTGCTTTTCCTGCTTCTCCTGCTTTTCCGGCTTTCCTGCTTTGCCTGCTTTGCCGGCTTGGCCTGCTTCGCCTGCCTGCCCTGCCTGCCCTGCCTGCCTGCTTGCATTGCATTGCATTGCATTGCATTGCATTGCATTGCATTGCATTGCATTGCATTGCATTGCATTGCATTGCATTGCATTGCATTGCATTGCATTGCTCGCATTGCATTGCATTGCTTTGTTTTGCTTTGCTTTGCTTTGCTTGATTGCTTGCTTGCTTGTGCCTGCCTGCCTGCCTGCCTGCCTGCCTGCCTGCTTTGCCTGCTTGTCCTGCTTGTCCGGCTTGTCCTGCTTTGCCTGCTTTGCCTGCTTTGCCTGTCTGCCCTGCCTGCCTGCCTGCCTGCCTGCCTGCTTGCTTGCTTGCTTGCGTGCGTGCTTGCTTGCTTGCTTTGCCTGGCTCGCTGGTTGCTTGCTTGCCTGCCTGCTTGGTTGGCTGGCTGGCTGGGTGTTTGGTTGGTTGGGTGGCAGAGGTAGTTTCCAGACACACACGAAAAAAACGGCGCACTGATACCCGCAAACGTGGGTTCATTTTCAAGCACCCTTAAGCCGCACGAAAACTTGTCAAATCCGACCATTTGTATACCAAACCTGCATGGGTGAATGCTTGTGCTCAGGGAAACCAACATGAAACAACCCTTGTGCTCAGGAAAACATCGCTCGGCACTTTGCCATCAGAGATAAACAACTGCGGGGCCTGATGGCTGCCAGGTTCATTTTTGAGGAGACACCTACTTTTAGTCTGAAGGTTCCCACGATTGAGTCTCGTATGAAAGAGCAAGATGTCAAGACCCTGTAATTGCCCCACCCCCAAAAGAGGGGACTGCACATGGTCCCCAAAAGGAACTCGAAAAGATCGCTTCTAATCCTATTTGGATTGGGGTTGCACCTCTGGTGCACTTGACACTTCTTGAAAGCACCCTGCCGACATGCAACCTCACGGGTGGGGTTCTTTGAGATGGTTTTACCATCCCAATGATTCTGGGCAAGCGGTGTGAACAAAACACTCGCCACATGAAACTCAGCCCGTGCAGGTTTGGAAGCGCCTGTGTTGAGAGTCCAATTCAGCCATGAGGAAATGTAGGTCGTGACCTTATTTGCTGATGCACTCCTTTGCCAGATTTCTCTCCGCTCAAACGCGACATCACTTGAGTAAGCAACAAGTCCGTTGAGCGAGGGTTGCACGTCTCTCCGGGGGGCTAAAGTCAGCTACGGAAGCAAGGCCATGCTGCCTGTATTCGGAACATTTGCATATATCAGTGTTTACTGGTGAGCAAGACGTTACCGATGCAACAGGCTCTTAAGATTGAAGAATACCCGAATCATTGCTTGTTTGACGGAACTTTGTATTGGTCAACTGGGTGATACTGGGTGTTTTTTTGGTGGCTACTCGTTTTTTGTGTTTTTTTTTGGGGGGGGTTCAAGGGAAACCAAAAGGACACCAAAAGGGAAACCACCAGTTTTGGAGGGGTCCCCTAAAGAAACCAGCTGGTGTATTCGATCTCTTCCAAATGGCTTCCATCCGTGTTTCGGGGACAAGTTTTTTCGCTGAAGTTCCGGCCCGGGAAAGTGGACTATGTTGTATTATCCAAAGCAACTCTTCACCTGTTCACCTTTGAATCGGTTTTCCGATTGCAAATTATTTTTGGCACCTGCCTGAAAAGGTGTTCACCACAAATATTTCCAGCTTCTTTGGGCCAAGTGACTCGGGTGGTCACTCTCCGTTCGAAACTAGCTCTGGATGTTGAAGCGGATTGCCAGCACCCTTTGGACCAAAATGCGTGTCTGTCGTTTGGTGGTACCACTTTTGGGGATGGCTTACAGGGAAACCACAAGGAAAACCGAAGCCAGGCCACTTTGGGGGTCCAGCCAATTTATGAAACAAGCCCAACCGGCCACGAGAAAGCATCCTGGCCATTGAAATGGTCAGTGGCGTCCCTTGTCCCACCGAACTCTAAGAACTGTTCCTGCAAGGCTGGCCACTGGGCTTCAGATAAGAAGCCTCGCATCGTTCCAAACAAGCGCGATCCTCTTAGTCCATGTCATGCCTTGACTGAAGTACTTCGTGCGAATTCCACCAAACAGGAGAATCATTTGTTCACCCTGCCAAGTTGGTCTCTGGAAATGTCGGTTGAGAAGAATCAAGCAACGTTTGAGCCATTCTTGAGACAGACACCACATGAGCCATCTTGAAAAGAAGCGAATCGCAACCAGGGGCGGGCAACGTTTTTTCTTTCCCTGACTTCTTCCTAGTACCCTTTTAGAGTTTGGTGAATTTCGGTAGCTCCCGCCTAAACTGAGCCACGTCCTAAAACCCCGGGTAGAGTTGATAACCCCGGGTAAGAACCCTAACCACCCAATGGGTGCCTTTGCCGCCTTGTTAAGTCTTTTCATGGTCAAAATGGGGTGCACCATTTTGGTACCAGTCGGTTATGACGACTGCAGCCTTCGGTGCCAGGCGCGGAAGCCGCGGGTGGCCCGAAAGGTGCCATAAGCGCGGGAGAGATACGGAGAGCGCCTAAACCAGAGATGTTACCCATGAAAACCCAGCCAAGAATTGGGCACCCC